GGCCGTCCCCGCGGGGCGCGCTGCGTGCGCGCTGGGGACGGGGGAGCGGGCATGATGCGGCGAGCAGGTGTTTGCCGACGGTGCGTGCGTCGTCAGCGGCCGCGCGCGTCGGCCGAGCGCCGGCGGTGAGCCTGGCCCGGGACGAGGCTCTTCTTGGGACGTGCTGGCCGCGCGTGCTCCCGACGCGGTGACAGCAGCGCGCAGGGCCGACCAGGGAACGGGGTGGAGGCGCTGGTTTGGAAGTCAGAGGAACGTCTTGCAGGGCAGGTGGGGTTGAGCCTGGTGGTGGGCACCTGAGAAGGTGAAACTGCTGGTGGCACCTCCCGTTTGTTGGGCGCCGGCCGATGGCGTCTCCTGAAGTGTTGCTGCAAGCGGCGGGCTGGCCGGGTGTCACGTTCCTCTGCTTGGGTGGAGACGCAGAAGCTCGGGGTGTCGGAGGGACCACCAGAGGTGACAGGCTCCGTTCCGGGGCTTCAGTGGTCGGAAGGCTGTCGGACGGCTTCCCAGAGGCCCCTAGGGAAGTAAGTCCCCCTGAAATCGATACGGTCCGGCCTTACGTTGCAGACGAGGTGCCTTTTCAGCAGGGTTGGGTGATTTCACCAAACTCCTCATGGAGCTGGAACGCAGCACCTCATCTGTAGGGTTCCAGATCTTTCCGCTCTGTTATTTGGTCCGTAGCAGGGTGGGAGAACATCAGTAGCTTGCAGGAAGGATGTGGAGAAGCAGAAAGAAGGTTTACTGAGCACCTAGGATGTACTAGTTTCCCCCTCAGGTGTTGCTTTATTTAATCCCACGAACCTGAAAGGCTGGCCTTTGCCCTTGTTTTACAGATGATCTGGTCACAGTGTATGAAATGGCTGTTATGTCTCAGATTTGGGGACCAGTTTAATGAAGGGATGAGTTGGAGGTGATCTGTGGTTTCAAACCTGGGTGACTGGAATGGATGATAATGTGGTCACTGAGCTGTGCCCTGAGTTGAGGGGAGAAGTTTAGTTTTAGACAAGTTAGAAAAGCAGACGGAAGTCCCTGCTCGCGGGCTTTTGGAACCATGGGACAGGCTGTTGCGGGAGATGAGGAACCAGAGTGGTTTGAGGGAAAGAAGAGCTGACCGTGGAGGGCAGCACCTAGGGGGATGATCTCGGTGGAGGGATGGGAGAAGCAGGGGGCTGCATGCGCGGTTGGGGATGAAGGCAGTGGGCAGGGCAGAAGGGTCCACAGAAACCCAGGGGCCGCTTTCCAGCGTTTCCTGGAGTTGGTTCTAACAGTCTGCGGTGCCTGAGGACCTTTAAGAGAGCAGACGTGCCCCGGGTGTTTTGTTGGGCAGCTGAGGGCGAGTCCCAGGGAGCTGTTGTTCTCTGCTTGATATCCTGTGCTCGTCCTGGGTCCAGTTTGAGAAGCCTGCTTACTGAGGCCTGTTGCCCAAGAATCAGGAAGGACGGCTCCATGTGGGCCTCACTGAACCTGCTGGGAGAGTCCTCTCTGTCAGCAGAGAAGGTTGACGGGAGGTCACAGACCTCTCTGCCAGCCCCACAGAACTGTGGTTGTAGAGCGTGGAGCCACGGGAGCGGTGAAGCAGGCGACAGGTTAGAGGAGGGTGGGGGGGGCAGAGCCGGCAGATGACGTGGAGCATCGGGCCCTGCGTCCAGGGAGGTCCCAGGGCTGAGGGGACAGGGTTAGGATGAAGGGCTGGGCCGTCAGGGTGAGTGCCTCTGAGGGTGAAGTCCAGTGCTATAAACACGGGGCTGGGCAGTGTCGTGTCCGGGGCTCAGGTTCCCGGAGGGAGTAGAAATGGGTCTGGGATCGATGCCTGGTTTCCGCCTTAGCATCACATGGGTCTTCCTCTGCGTGTGTGGCCTTTCTGTGGAGTGCCACTTGGATGAGCTTAGTTTTTCCTCATCTTTGAAACATCGGTGCTGCCTTGCTCACAGCATCTTCCTGAAGGTTTTGAGAGAACGTGAAAGCATTTGGCGTAGTTCAGTAGTTAGTGACTTTCTGTTTTGTCTTCCTGCTCTGTGCGGGGAACGGGACTATTTGATAGACGTGTGCATTCTGGTCTCTTGGAACAGGGCTCCTACCCACCTGTCACCATTTTTTTAGAGCAGTTTTAGGTTCAGGGCACAACGGAGGGGCTGGTACAGAGTTCCCGAGCACCTTCTGTCTCCACCAGAGGGGGCCTTTGCTGCAGTCCACGAACCCGTGCGCCTTCCACCCCGGAACACCCAAGCCCTGGTTGGCTTTAGTGTTCTCTCTTAGTGATGCGCATTTTCTGCGGTTTGGACAAACATATAATGACAGGTATCCACCACACAGAGTATGTTCCACTGCTGGAAAAATCTCCTGTGCTCCACTTACTCGTTCCTTCCTCCCACCCCATCCTGGCCACCACGGATCTTTACCGTCTCCGTTGTTTTACCTTTTCCAGAATGTCCTAGAATTGGAATCATGCAGAATATGTATAGACTTTTTTGATTGGCTTCTTTGACTTAGTGACGTGGTTTCAGTTTTCTCCAGGTCTTTTCACGGCGTGATAGCTCATTTCATTTTAGCACAGAGTGATAAATATTCCCCTGTCTGGATGGACCGTTCACCCACCGACAGACACCTTGGTTGCTGCCGAGTTGTGGCATTTATGAATGACGCTGCTGTAACACCCGTGTGCAGGTTTCTGTATGGATGTGTTTTCAACTCCTTTGGGGACATAGCAGGGAGCAAGGTTGTCCCCCCCAGCCCCCCAAGGAGACTCTCCCAGCCGTCCTGCCTCCAGCTGCCGTAGATGGCCCCACCTCTCAGAGCTGTGGCATTTCCTCCGGTAGTCTCCTGGGGAACGTGCGCCTTTCTTCAGGGTCTGCTGCAGAGCCCCTTCCTCCCAAGGAACTTTCGTAGATTTCCGGGACTGGAGTGTGCATCTGTATGCTTATCGTGAGGGACCACAGCTGCTCCTCACGCCCCTCCTGTTGGCACTGCCGCGAGTGGGTCTGTGCCCGTGAAAGGTGCACACAAAACGCCGTGTTTCCGGTGTCCTTTGTGAGTGGAGAGTCCCAGCGCTTGTAAGGATGTCACTGTGTCCCAGGAAAGGGTAAGGGCTGGTCCTCACACCACAGTCGAGTTCTTAGAGGGTGGGAGCTGTCGTTTGGATTTTTTGTGTTCCTTGCCCGTTGTAGGCACGTTGGAGGTTGTTTGTGGAATTGATTGCCAAGTTCTCTTTCTTTTTTTAAAGATTACATATTGTCAGAGAGAGAGAGCGCATTAGCAGGGGCAGAGGCAGAAGCAGACTCCCTGCTGAGCAAGGAGCCCGATGCGGGGCTCGATCCCAGGACCCCGGGATCATGACCTGAGCCGAAGGCAGACACTTAACTGACGGGGCCCCCCAGGCGCCCCCATTGCCAGGTTTCTGAGAGCCACACGTCCCCTGCATCTGTGCAGTGTGGGGAGACAGCAGCAGCCTGGTTCTCTGGCTTATGCTTTGTGGTTTCAACCCGATTCTCATCTTCTCTTCTTGAGCCTAAGTTGTTGGCACCTTTACAGCTCTTGGTACCAGGACGGTGTGTTCTTTCCGTGGCAAACGAGTCTTACTGGGCGCTGTGAATAAAAGGAGGACAGAGAGACCACGTAGTGACGCGTCCTTTGGTCCCCGGAGTTGGGCTCATGGGCGTGTAGGTGTCATGGCCTACAGGGTTTCAGTTCTGCTGATGCTGGAACGCCTGTTAAAGATTGCTTCGGAGCAGCTTCGGGTGAAGTTGAGGTGTGTTTGCGTTGTGCGAACGTGTTGTGGTCTCCTGTTTTGTCATCCTCTTCTGAACCAGAGCTTACTACCTTCCTACGGCCTGTGTGGTCTAGTACTGGGCAGGCGAACTCATTGTCGGATTGCTGTTTGATTTTAGGTATTCACGGCCTTCGACCACATGGCCCGTCAGGACGACGAGAAGAGGAGGAAGGAGCTGGAGGAGAAGGCCAGGAGGAAGGAGGCCGAGGAGGCCGTGGCGGCCGCCGTTGAGCAAGAGCCAGTCCCCGCCCTGGGACAGGAGGTGGAGGTCGGCCTCGGCGCAGACTCGGGCGGGCCTCAGGGACCACCGGGCCCACGGGGTGCCGGGCCGGAGGCGGCCCCCAGCTCGGGGGAGGCAGAGCCCCCGGGGGCTCAGGCGGGTGCCCCCGAACTGCCGAAGGAACCCCCAGCTCTTCCCAAGTAAGAATTTCTACTTTGCGGTTCCTTTCTTGCTTGGCAGCTGGTGGTTGGCTTGGTCCAGTCGTGGTTCTCCCATGGTGCCACGCCGACCGTGTCCGCGTTTGTGTTTGTAAACTGCGTTACGGGGCTTTGGTTACACGGGACGGGAGGTCAGTTGGCTGCTGTCTTTGCCTCCCTCGAAGGCTAGGTAGTAAGCTGCCTGTCGTACGGCCAGCTCAGAGCCGCAGTTAGAGCGCTGGGCGCCCAGCGGCCTTCCCTGAGACCTGCCCGCCTGTGTGGCAGCAGTGGCTCGGGGTCTCGGCTCTGTCCTTTCTCTTCGGAGCACTCCTGGGCTGCGGGCCCCTGGTCCTGTCGGTGGCATGGGTGACCGTGGGCCCAGAGTCCCCTTGGAGACTGCCACTTAGTGAATGGATTACCTGGCACGCAGCGTTACCTGTGGCTCGGTGTTCTCCTTTGTAAAGTGGAGGTGAGAGGGCCGGCACCTGCCTCCTGCTGCTGCCGCTGTCACCGGGGCTGAGGCCGAGGCCGCGTGGCTGGCGCGACACCCTGGTTGCCGGTCCTTCACCGCTCCACGTGGGTGCACAGGCTGCTCGCTCCCGTGTGGGAGCCGTGGTGGGCTCTGAACGGCAGCCTGATGCTCCCGGCCTGCTCCGTTCTAGCACAGTCCTCCGTCTTCCCTCTTGGATAGGACTGCTCCCGCCGTCGTCCCTCCTCTGTCCTAACTTCCCTGCGGTTCTTCCTTCTCCGTGCATCTCTCTGACCTGTTCCTGTGTCTCTGTGGTTCCTGGATGGCGAAGCAAAGCCAACAGTCTGCAGTGACGTAAAACGCAGAGTTGGCGGGGGGGATACATTTTGTGAAGCTGATGGGGGGCCAAGGTGCAGAGGCGAAAGGCCAGGCTGAACCGTGGGGTTCAGAGACCGCAGTGTCGGGTGCACGAATGGGCTGGTGCAGAAGAGCAGGGCGTGGATATGGAACTTGGGTCAAGAAGGGGCAAAGTGGGGTCCGGGACCTGGATGTGGACGGGTTCTTGGGCAGAGGGCAGAGATCCGATAGTTTCTTTCAGCCCAAAGAGCTTTTTCCAACATTTCCCGTAGTGTAGTGCAGGTCTGCTGCTGAGGCATCCTTTCCGCTTTCAGTTGTCTGAAAGTCTTTATTTGATCCTCATTTCTGAGAATGTGTTTGCTGTCTGTAGAATTCCAGGCTGACACTTCTTTTTCAACACTTCAAAGAATTCTGTTTTCTGATAAGACGTAAGTGTTCTTTGTTCCCTTTTATGGGTCCTCTGGGTGCTTGTAAGATAGTTATGATTAGTCTCAGTGATCTGGTTACCACCTGCTTCGGGGTGGTGTTCTCCGAGTTTGCACCGCTGGGGTTTCTGGGCTTTGTTCTGCCCTGCCGTGTGTACCCCTTTTTGAGACTCTCTTCCTCCTTTGGAGCAGTTTCTATTGCCCTGTCGTCGCCTTTATTGTCTTTTCTCCTTTAGTGTCTGATCCTCAGTTAAACTCCTCAGTATGATTTTATTTCATATAATGGATTTTTCGGCTCTGCATTTCCTGTTGATTCTCTTCTATGGCTTTGATCTCTACCTTCGTTGTTTCTCTTGAAGTTGTTTAATATGTTTGTAATAGCTGTTTAAAGACTTGATCTGCTAATTCCATCATTTCTGTAATGTTTTGTTTTGTTGGCTGCTTCCTCCTGCTTTTGGGTCACATTTTCCTTCTTTACATATCTGGTAATTTTTTTCTTTTAAAGATTTTATTTAACTGAGAGCGAGCCAGTGCGTGCGTGTGCAAGTAGGGGGAGAGGGAGAGAGAGAATCTCAAGCAGACTCTGTGTGTTGAGCGAGGAGCCTGACTCCGGGCTCGATCTCAGGACCCCAAGATCACAACCTGAACCGAAATCAAGAGTCAGATACTTAACCCCACTGAGCGACCCAGGCGCCCCATATCTGGTAATTTTTTATTGGATGCCTGCCATTGTGGACGTTATGTAGCTGCATCTCTGGGTTTTGTTTTCTTCCTTTAAAGAGTGTTGAGTTTTGTTCTCAAAGGTAGTTATTTGCAGATCAATATGATCTTTCAGAAGCTTGTTTTTAAACTTGTGGGGGTGTGTCCATAGCAACTTTGATTCTACGGCTAGTTCTCCTTGTTCTAGAACATGGCCCTGTTGGGTTCTCCAGAATGTTCTGTTGTTGCTGCTTGAAACAGGAACACCTTCCACCCCTTTGTTAGCTTTGGGGTCATGCGGGCTAGTTCCCAGGAGTGTCTGCCCTCCCCGTTGCGTCACACTCACGTGGGGACAGGTGACTGCAAAGACCCAGAGACCCTGTGCAGTTTTCTGAGTTCTTTCTCTGTGTAGCTGCCCTGTTCTAGGGGTCTTTGCATAAAATATTTAGATATCAGAGTGAAGACTGAGCATACAGTTAATCACTTTAGTTTTATTTATTCCAGCATTAGTCGTTTCAGCAAAATTTTGGAAGAAAGTGCTGCATTTTCATTTGGGGAATGGTTATGGACATTTATAAACTGTTTTAAAAAGGCTGACTGATGTGGGGATTGTGACGGCCCATTTTCTGTGGCAGCCTGGCCGGGCCCCATCCCTGGGTGTTGCTGTGAGGGTGTTTGGTGGAGGTGCTCAGCGTCCACGACCAGGTGGCTTCAGGTAAGGGTCATCATCTTAGGTGACCCGAGTGGGTCTTGACCGTCAGTTGAAGGGCACTGAAAGCAGAGCCAGGGCTTCCCTGAAGCAGAAGAAATCCACGCCATGGACGGCAGCTTCACCCCCTTTCTGGCCTGCCCTGTGGGTTTTAGAGTGGCTCAGCCAGCCACCACGGCTACGTGAGCCCGTTCCTGATGCAACTCTCTGAATGTGTGTGTGGGTGTGCTGCTGGTTCTGTCTCTGGTGAACCCTGATGTTCGCAGATACTCTTGTCCTGGAGTGTTGTGTGACAGCAGCAGTTTTCTTTTCTTTTCTTTTTTTAAAGATTTTATTTATTTATTTGAGAGAGAGCGTGAGAGAGAGAAAGAGCACAAGAGGGGGGAGCGGGAGAGGGAGAAGCAG